GCAAAACCAGCCTTTCCACTGGGGCGACCCCCAGCTCCCGGGAGCCGACCAGACCCGCCGCCGCCAGGGATGATGCTGCTGCCCCTGTCCCGGGCCGGCCCAGACAGGAGCTCCTCCCGCGAGGCTGCCCCGGGCCGGCTCCCCCCGTCCCTGCCCAGGGAGGCGCAGCCCCGGCGGGGCTCCTACTGTCCCACCCAGGGGAAGTTCCCCCGGGCCGGCTGCGAGCGGAGGGGGGGTTTCTCTCTCCCCGGGGCTCGCTCCCGGGCGTGGGAGGGGGTGACGGGCTCTCGCTCACCAGCTGCCCGGCAGCACCTCTTCCCCTTCCGCCATAGCTGTTGACGTGCCCTCGCTATGCCGTAAATCGCGGCTTATTTTCGACAGCTGGAGAAAACATCCGCCTCCCCTTCCCGGCCCGCGGCGCTGTCGTAAAGCCCAGGCTGGCCGTAAAGCGCGGGGGTGGCGGGTGGTCGGTGACGTGGGCGCCCTTGGGAGCCGTCGGCCTGCTGCTGTTGCTATGAGGCCTGGGGGATGGGGCGCGCGCGCGCGAGCTTCTTTCAGACCCGCCCCTTTGGAACGCGGAGGAGCTAGAAGCGCTGGGGGCGGCTCGGGACGGGGTCTGTCCCAGGCGGGAGGCATGTGCTGGAGCCCGCTGGCGCCGCCCTGAGCTTGAGTGCTGCTGTGTGCGGACAGCGCGCGCAGGCTCTGACTCCGGGCCTGGGGCAGCTCGGTGCAACCATCATAAACATAAATCATAGTAATAGTAAGTGTACAGAGCTGGGGAAGGGGGAGCATTCCCCCACCCCACCCCACCCCGTGGCCCAGTGTGGGATCTAATGCAGGGGGCTCGGGGGCTGAATTGAAGAGCAGAAGGAGAGCATGTGTTGGTGACCTTGTTTTCTTCGGGAAGGCAAGGTGTTGCTCTAAACGCAGTTATAAACCTATTTTCGTGAGCAAATGATGTAGTTGTCACAGGGCTCTGTCATGTAAGTGGGGGAGGGGGAAGTTGATCCACAAGAACAATCTGTTAAATTATGATCCACATTGTGGAAAGATGTGAGAATCCCTGAGCAATGTTATCAAGAGGAGTCAGAGGACATGGAAGCACCAAAAATTACCTGAAGTCAACACAGGACCGTAGCTAATGCATGTGCATAGCAGAGATCAGCAACTCGGCCTCCAAACTGCCAAATTATTAGTTGTAGAAATGAAAAACCCTTCCCAAGAAGGACAGGTGTGCATGTGTGATGTGGAGTGTGAAATAAAAGCACAGTAGCTGAAGGGGTTACTTTGCTTTACTTAAAACCCATACCAGTTTACAAAGGAGCACCAGCAGAATTAAATCTCGTATTCACATGTCACAGAGAAACTTCAGGCTTCCCTGTAACTTCTTGTAAAATTGCCATTTACAAACAGGGAGGCCAGAAAAGCCTGTGTGCCACTTCCCCAGGAAAAAATCTGGAAGCCTGGGTAGGGGCTGGAAAGGAGTATTCCTCCTCTAGTGAATGAGGTGGAGGATGGGTAGAGGAAAATGCTACGAGGGACCACTGCACTGAGCTACCCACGATCCCATAATAAATTCATGCAAAGTGAGCTATTGCCATTTGATCTGCTGCCTGTGAGGGACAGAGGAGGAATATCCCATCCAGGTTCAGATCTCTTTCTCCACTATTTAAGGGTAAGAGATATATGTCACCCATGCTGAGTGCCTGAGAGTGGAGGGGATACAGAGACCACTTTCTGATCTCTCCTCTTCTGCTTTGTTGCATATCTAAAGGACACTGAGCTGTGGAGCAGCAACAAGAGGGAGCTGGGAATTAAGTGTTGAGGAGCAGTTGAGCTCCAATGCAATGCACTGCCCCCCCTTTTGTTTTTGGAGGGAGGGAAGGAATTGTGTTACTTCCCAATACATACAACACCCCTCCCTCCAGGCTGCCAGGTGCTTTCTGCAAAGTGGTGGTGGGGGGGCATATATCCTCCTCCAGTCTCCCTCCACAACATGGACATCTGTCTCTCTTAAGGAAGTAATTTCTTCCTGGTTCCCAAAGCTGTCAGGTTTTTAAGGGTCAAAGATGCTCCTGACCCCCACCTGTACATTTAAGCAGTTATCTTATCAGGTACCCTTAGTTGACCCCTGAGCTGCTCCTTGGAAAGTATCCATGCTTGCTAGTAGCATGGACCAATTTTTAAGCTAGAGGACCTGTTGTGGATGCTGACTTTTCCACTCCTGTTCTTCTACCTTCCCTGCCTCAACCACCGGGCTTCATGTCATGAAAATGATGGAAATAAATTAACTTTAATATTAGATTATTATGCACCTGTTTGGTGTTAAAATCTTTTTGTATCTGTGCTATTTATTCTTACTGCACACACTCTCTCACCTCTCTCCAAAAAGAGTTTGGTCCTATTAGGATCTGGGAAGTGGGCGGGCGAAGCCTGTCCACTGCTAAAGGATCCCCTCCCCCAGCCTAAGAGGGGGATCCACAGGACCTGGACACCAAATAAATCTGGGGTACAACTAATGAAATAACAGGGACAGGAGTGTGGTCAAAGGGTCAAATGAAGGGAACCGGACGGGGACACCGAGCAGAGAACCCTGGACAGTGCCCACTGCTCCTCAAAGGTGTCAAGGGAGTCAGTGGATGCCACCCAAAGGAACTCTGTCCGGATACGTGAACGGACCAAGGCAAAAAGAGTTTGGTAGCGGGCTTTGAGTGTTAACAAACAGGGTTAGATTCATTTCTATGGACGAATAGTGCCATCTCATGATTATTTATGGTTACTACACATGTATATTCTTTCACACTAGTGCCTTCAGCCAGTGGTTCTCAACCAGGGGCCTGAGGCCCCTTGGAGGGGGGCCGTGAGCAGGTGTCAGGGGGTCCACTGAGCAAAGCTGGCATTAGATTTGCTGGGACCTAAGGCAGGAAGCTGAAGCCCCACCACCTGGGGCTGAAGCCTGGGGCCTTGAGCCACACTGCCTGGGGCTGAAGCCTGAGCAACCTGAAGCCTGAAGCATGGTGGCCCCAGGCAATTGTCCTGCTTGCTACCCCCTAAAGCCAGTCTTGTCTTTTATATGCAGAAAAGCAGTTTTTGTGGCACAGGTGGGCTATGAAGTTTTTACAGCATGTTGTGGGTGTCTCAGAAAGAAAAAGGTTGAGAACCCCTGCCTTCGGCTATATTCCATGTATATAAATCTATTATAGATCTGATAAGTGTGTGGCTTCTTTTTACAGTATATTCATTTGTTGCATCTGATCATTGCATTTATCTACTTTTGTTATTTGTGTGCTTTAATTGCTTTTGCAAACAATAGACTATAAATACAATATTTAATATGAAGGCTCTGCTTATAAACATTGTGCTTCACTCAGAGTAAGTGAACAATGTTTCCTTGAGTTTATTAGCATGATCTTTGGCCACAATCTTGAAAACACACACGTGCTTAGCTTTACTACTGTGAACGGTTCCACTGATATCAACAAAACTACTCACAGTATTAAAGTTAAGCTCATACATAAATGTTTGCAGGACCAGCCCTTTAATTTTCATTAATATGTTAATTAATACCTGTTACTAATATTTCATTGCCTTAAAGTAGAATTGTTAAATCTTAATACTGATACCACTTTCCCTTTCCTAGCAATGGGGCTTTGAATTGATTCCAGAGATTGTAAATACATTGCAAGATTATGCTGTTCTGTACACTTCAAAGGATATTTGAAGATTTACACTCAAATAAATGACCTAATAGTATTACATATCATGAGGGAAGGCAGTAGTTTCAAAGCAATTGCTACTGAATTAGTTATTGCATAAATATGATTTTTATCTTTATAAAAAGTATTTATTACATACAAATATATGTACTGCAAGATTTTGTGTAAATGTCTCAAAATACTTTTCATTGCCAATGACATTGTATGGCCTTGATACTGCACATTTTTAGGAAACTGCATAACTTTATTTAGTTGGTTGAGTAGTCCCATTGACTTCAATGGAATTACTGTTGTGAACAAAATTACATAATTCCTTAAGTGTTTGCAAGATCCGTGTTCCATATGTGAAAGGGGAAAAAAGTTACAAGGTTACAATATATTTTCACATATTTATAGTCCTTTCTCAGGCAAGAGGTTATGAAGTATCATAATAAAGAAAGTAGATATTTTCCAGGCCCAAACAAGACAGATGCAGTCTGACTTAAATAAACATCATGAATGGTTGAGTTCTAGCTGCAGCTCCTTTCTCCCCCTTGCAATCTTTGATTAACTTGATTGCAGCGCTTGAAAATTGAACACCTATTTTTTTCTTACTACTTACTAACAAAAGCGTTGTAACATATGTATGATGAACTAAGGATAGTAAATAATTTCAATATTACATGACGTAAAGCATCCTTAAACCTGCCAGACACATGCATGTGTGCACAGATATGTATATATACTAAAGACTCAGCACTTATCCATACTACACATACCAATTGTGCCCTACCCCACCCCCCCTTTTCAAATGCTGGTCTTTGCCCCAAGTTGTCCATCTGGAAAGTTCTCCTTCACGACTAGGTTTCAACAGAGTTAAAAGAAATGTCCGTTTTTCTCCCCACCAAACGTGTCTAATTAGAGGGTCTTATGTCTGCCAGTGTGCCACCCACTAACTCAGCAAGCACATGTGCATATGCAGACATCACGTCCCTCTGTGCACACACGATACGCACGAACCTAAACACGCCATGCAGACACCACACATATCTGCGCCTACACCACGTGTGCACAGGGCTCCCATGCACGCCGCGCGCAGGCAGCCCGGCTGCTGAGCCCTTTGCTTTCCGCGCGCCCTTCGCCGCAAACCCGCCCCGCGGTGCCAGGCTTAGTAGCGAGCGGGGAGGGGGCGCGTCTCTGGCGGGAGAGGGCGGTGTCAGCAGCCGGCAGCGGCGTCCCCCGGAGCTGGTGCGGGGTTCCTCCCGGACGGCGTAGAGTAGCGGCGGCGTGGCCCGCGGTGCGGCTGGGACATATGGGGGACGCGCTGGACGAGCCTTGGTGGGAGCCTCAGCCTGGAACACACGCTAGCAGCGACAGCAATAGCCCAGGTACCTGCTCGCCACGTGGGGAGCTTGCTCCTCCCTTTGCTGGGCTCATAGCAGCAGCCCCTTCGCTGGACTCCCCCTCCCCCTTTCATTTCCTCGTCTCCCTCACCTCCCTTCCTCCCTCACCTTTCGCACACAGACCCACTCCTCATTTCCTCTCAGCCTGCCCCCTTGCTCCTTCCTTCTCTCCAGCGGCCCTTCCTCCCATCGCCCCTCCCGAGTTGGGTGTAAACATTTCAAGTTTGCTTGTAAACAAAATGTCCGGTCTATATTCCTCTTCCCCAGGAGGAGTTATACACAGAAAACATTAAACAGAAATAGTCACTGAAATAGACAATTTATATTTAAATAAAGATGCGGGGGAGGGGGGTAGAGGAACTGGATGCTTTTTGAGGTTGGAGCTTAACTGGTCCCTGTCTTTATTAAGCTTATAAAGCGTATTCTCTTCTGATTTGGGGACTTCTGGTCTTCTTCTGGGTATTAGCAGGGCTGACTGAGGAGACTTAAGTTTTTAAAAGGCTTTTGAAACATGTGGCGTTTATAAAACCTTTGGCGGTAAACACGTGCAGCAGCTGGTGGGACTGGTCACTATTTATCACTAGTTTCAGAGGAACAGCCGTGTTAGTCTGTATTCGCAAAAAGAAAAGGAGTACTTGTCGCACCTTAGAGACTAACCAACTCCTTTGAGCATGAGCTTTCGTGAGCTACAGCTCACTTCATCAGTGAAGTGACACTTTATCACTAGTGTCATGTATGTCAGAAGGATAGGAACTGAATTCTCACTCCCTCAACCACGTTATTCGGCTGATGCTCTACAACTGCTTTGCATGATGATGATGATCATTAATTATTATTAATATCTAGCTTTTATAGTGCTTTTTTCATCAGTAGATCTCAAACCACTTTACAGAGGATATCTATTAAGGTATTAGGCTGCTGCCAAACTGTTACAGTTAACATTGATGAGTTTTTTTTTAAAAAAATGTAAGGTCTACACTGCATAGTAAATCTGGGTGTGCAAAATGGGTGGGCTTGGACCTGTCCCATAGTGGGACTCTCACCCATGCATCTTGGCAGGTTTGCAGGTCTGAGTCCTAAGAGGTTTCTGGCATGAGCCAGAAGGATTTGTGTGTGAACAGTATGGGTTTTGGTCCTAAACCTGGGTATGAGCCTGGTCTAGTTATGGTACAAATGTAACTGAATTGGAGGACCTAGCTAAAATATGGTTAAATTCTGTCTATGACAGTGGTTCCCAACCAGAGGTACATGTATCCCTGGTGGTACGCAGAGGTCTTCCAGGGGGTACATCAGCTCATCTAGATATTTGCCTAGTTTTACAGCAGGCTGCTTAAAAAGCACTAGCAAAGTCAGTACAAACTAAAATTTCATACAAACAATGACTTGTTTATACTGCTCTATATACTATACACTGAAATGCAAGTACAATATTTATATTCTAATTGATTTATTTGATAATTATAAGGTAAAAATTAGAAAGTAAGCAATTTTTTCAGTAATAGTGTGCTATAACACTTGTATTTTTATATCAGATTTTATAAGCAAGTAATTTTTAAATGAGATGTAACTTGGGGGTATGCAAGAGAAATTAGATTCCTGAAAGGGGTACAGTAGTCTGGAAAGGTTGAGAGCCACTGGTCTAAGCTACAAACTTTAACTGTGTTGCAACTGTTTTCTATGACAGCTTTGTCGTAGCAGGGCCCTCTGAGTTGATTGTACTGTATTTGTAGAGGGAACATTAGGGGTTCATAGATAGGGCATAGAAATTAAGAGAGTATTAAGTGAAATCCTGTGATATGATATATATATGGTTGGATGGAGTGCTTTTGTTTTTGTGAGAGCATCTTGTAATTGGAAATTTTATGAATGGAATTATTTTATTGTGAAATTTTTAGATTTTCCAATGGTTTATTTTTAAGCTTTGAGGGCGTACCTCTGGTTCAAGGCACCAGAGAAATACTTCATGAAATCCTCTAGGGACTTCAGTTTTGCTATCTATTTTATGTGGAAGGTGCTTGATAATATGGTGATTGGCAGAAGTATAAAACCCAAAAATAAATTTTATGTCACAGCCCTGTCCCCATGTTGGACCCACAGTAGTGTTTCGACCCACATGCTGTGTTCATGTGCATTAAGTTCCCCTGGGCCTGAGTAGGCTCTTTCTTTGGCCTCTAGGTTCACTGCCGGTGCACTGACTCTCTGTCTGGTACCTTTTTCATAAGTTGGATTGTGCAGCCTAGCTTCCCTAGTCCCAGGACCAGTGCTGCACTTCCCTGTAGGTTAAGCACATCCTTTTCAGAGCTCCACTCTAGTGTGTGTCACGGTTACTGGGTTAGCTGTTCCTTCTTGGGGTCTCTCTGAGTGCCATGGGTCTCAGGCCATGGGTCTCAGGCCTTCACCTCTGCTGGAGTGGAATTCCACCACTCACCCACTCTCAGACCCCAGGACCTGGGTTACACCCCCCTGGGAACTAACCATGACCAAGTCAGCAGATCCAACTGCTGGTGGACCCTGCCAGCGTTTCCCTTTGGGAGCTGGTGACTCAAAACAGCCTCTTCAAAACAAAGTATTGACCGGTCTAAATACTTTGTGCCTTTGAGAAATGAATGAAGTGTAACAACAGTAAAAGGGCTACATGCAAAGGTGGTGTTTATACTTTTGTAAGTTCCCCTCAGCTCAGTTAACTTCATCTCTTGCTGTGAGTATCAGCTCGTCTTCCTCACAACATCTGTATCTCTGTGTGTCTCAGTCACGCTGTCAACTTTTTCACTGACACATCCTGGCCAGCCTCTCTCAGCTTACCCTGTAACCCGCCTCCCTTTTCTAGGGTCTTTAGTATTTTTGCCTCCTTTGATCCCAGGCTTGGGGAGGATGCCCCATTCTAGCCTGGATGGAGCCAACCATTGTTATTTTACCTCCTTTGAAGTTGGGTACATCAGAGCTATCTTGTCTGTGTCATCGTTTTACCTTTCCTGGATGTCGTAACAACCCCCCTTTTCCAGCCTCCTTTCATTCAACTGTATGCATACAGGAAGTGTTAACAATTGTAATATTTATAAAAATATAATCCAGACATTTTCTCATTTTGTCCCAGTGAGTACTCCTGTTTACAGTTTAATTGTTCAGGGACATGTGGGTTGAAGCCAGTAGGACACAGACTTTGCAGAGGGATTTCTTAAATTAGTCACTCTTTATTTGAGACAGCACAAGTGTTATACAGATCCATGTAAAATAAGAAACACATCTATACCATTCCCTGCCTAAGTTTATTCACCACTCTTTAGCATTCTTTGGGATTTGGTCATTGTCCTTTCAGGCTTCCAAATCCCCTCTCTTTGGCTTCTCTCCTCTGGTACATGTTTCTCTTGGTGAGAGAGCTGGTCCTTTTATAACTTCTAGTCTTCTTTCCATGTGAACCTCCTGGTCAGCCTCAAGGTCCCCCTCATGTGATCTGATGCTTGGTTACCACCCACATGGAGTCCAGACTTGAAAAACTGGTTTATTGCAGTTTTGGCCACACTCTTTGGCATAACCATTGCTCAGCTAGGGTAGGGGCAGGACCGATTCAGTTGTTTGTGGTTCTTAAAAACCATATCAATCAGAGGCAGGCACTCAGGTGCTGCTCTCCCTCTTCTTAACATAAGAAGTGTGACGTACGAATACATGCAAAAGGCAGTCAAACAGCCTAAATACACAGAGAGTTCATAACATGAAACTGGAATTCATAAGCTGTACATAGATAAGTCCCCCAAATTGTCTTATAAAAATGGTGGGCCATAAATCTTATTGGAATATGTCATAAAATCTTTTCTCACAAGGGTGAGGTGTGGTATAAATTGATGTCAACTGGATGATATTTCAAAACTGCCAATTTTGTGCCACTGTGTGGATTGTAATATTCTGAATTCTTGGTGCAGGGCCACATATACTTGCAATGGATTGCATTACTGGAATAAAAGAGTGTTCCACTGCAATAATACTCTCAGTGCTCTTATCCTGTAAGGCTTTGAATTCCCAATGCTGAATTTCAGACTGTTATTTTTCACTTCTGTGTTGTATCTCTCAGTAATAAAATGTTCTGTTAACATTAAAGCTGCCCTGTATCTAGGTCTCTGTGACTTGCTGAATACAGATTTAAAAAAAAAATAATACTACATGTTCATGTTTGATAAGGTAAAGTGAGGTTGACTCTTGCAGTTTTTTGTGTTGGTATAAACTTGGCACTTGTGAAAAATACTAAGTCCTGGACATTAAAATCTTCAGTTTATCCACTGAAGAGATATAACACAGGTGAATTAATGAATATTCACTTCCCATTGCTTCTTACCAATATATCTAATTTCAGACCTAGCGAGAACCATGTAGAATTTTGGGGATAGTTCAGTCTCCAAGCCTACTCAGAAGAATGATGCTCTTTGGACACAGTATGCTTAAAAATCGTTAGAGTAGGGAACTTGGGGTCAGGACACCTGGGTTATATTCTTAATCTTGGGCAAGTTGCTTAGACAGTCTTTGTCTCAGTTTCCCAGTCTGCAAAATGGATTTATTTGATATTTTGCCACTTTGTAAAGTCCTCTGGGATTTTTGAATGAGAAGCTCTGCATAAGTGCAATGTATTTATTTTTCATTCCTTGGCCTGTCTGCTGAGTCTGCCAGCGAAGGGTGTTCTCTGGTGCCAGTTGTTAAAGTGGTTGGTGTTATGGTGGACCGCTTTCTGCTAGGATCTGTGCAGGGATCACCAACTAATTTAATATATGCCATTAGTCAGCTGCCAGATGGTAACGGCTTTTGGCTACTGTCAGCGTAGGGTGGATTTGAACCAGCAGTTTAGGTGACAAGCTCTGAACTCCAATACTCTGAGCTATCCAGTTTCCAAGGATTTTTGCAGTTGTGATGTTGACTAGACATTTTATGTTGGAAGCGAGCAGCAAAAATGAAACCCAAAACACTTCTGAAATTCAATGTGGTGAATTCACAGGCTTGTG